GGGTTTAGGGTTTGTCGTAGTCCGCCTGCTGTGATTTCAGGTTCCTTCTGAAAGGAACCCTCCGAAAAATGCACCTACAAGGAGACCCAAAATCAAGACAACACCCACTTGTTGCCCTGCTTATCATGCTTGATCTTGAGAAACTCTGCTGGGAACCCGCAAGGGGGAAGTTTCTGAAGAGGACCTAGGGGGGGGTTCCGCATCGGGGTAAACTTAAGTACGTTAAACCCGAAACCCGAAACCCTTAGGAACCTCAAGCCGTGAACCCCAAACTCCAACCCTTTAGGTTGCCCGAGTCTGAAAGGTTATCTTATGAGGAACCAGCGGGTACCCTTGAAGCCCTAGACCCTAAACCCTGGCCCAAATAAGCCCTGAAAAGTAGAAGGAAACTTGGGCCCTGACACTCCTCCGTTGCACAAACCCTAGGCCCAGAACCCTAAAACCCTAAAACCCTAAACCCTACACCCTCAACCCTAAACAACCCTAAAGCCCAAAGCTAAAGCCTGGCCCTGTCTTCTGTGGGGAAATGCCTCAAGAACTCAGGACCTTATTTTCCCATCGTTTGCCCCAACAATCCTAGTGTAAGGGGGGCCCAGGGCGTAGGCAGCTTTTAAAATCACAGCGATCTGCCCAAACTCAACCTTGGTTTGGGTTCCTGAGGTATGGGATATAGGATCCTTATCGGGCTGTCCGGCCGAAGATCCCCCTCTAAACCCTAGACCCTAGACCCTGGACCCTAAACCCTAAACCCTTACTGCAGGTGCCCTGCAAAACCTGATTTAGACGTTGTGAGAAGGGCGTAGGCCCGTTGAAGCCCAAGGTGCACCTGACGTGCAGGGTGTAGGGTTCCTGTCCAAACCCTAGACCCTGCATGCGAATGCTTGGGGTTGAGGGTTTAGGGTTTCGGGCTGAGCGTTTAGGGTTTCGGGCTCAGGGCTCAGGGTTTAGGGTTCGACCGTCAACGAAGATGAGAGGCCCCGCTCTCTAGAAGTTGTTTCGGGGGACGTAAGTGGCCGACGTAGTCTGCAAAGCAGTTTAGGGTTCAGGGCTTAAGAGCTTTTCTGGGCATCTGGGGTCCCGGCTCCTTGCCCTTGGACAGAGGCCGCTCGCCGCTCGCCGCAGACGCATGGGCCTCAAACTCTAGGGGCTTGATCTGGGGGTTTCCGAAATTGGGTGGGTGGGTGGGGGGGGGTAACCCTATTAGGGTCCCTTTTATAAGGGAATTGTTAAGTGGTCTTGGGTTGGTTAACAGGGTAAAAAGGGGTATATGGGTATACCCCAAAATAGGAATACCCCTCTAACACCCCACTAGAACCCCTTAAAGGGACCCCCTAAAAGGATACCCCACTTTTCGGAAACCCCCATATAAGTGCCCTTGCAGCCACCCTAAGACAAGCGCAAGTTCGGGCTTTGAGGAGTTGGGCTTTAGGGATATCCCTAAACCCTAAACCCTAAACCCTAAACCCTCAACCCTAAACCCCAAACCCCAAACCCTAAACCCTGTAGATTCTACAGTGGGCTCTTCATCCCAAAAAGCCCTGCAAAGACGGCACCCGAGATCTGCCCCACGGCCTCCTGTGCGCGCGGTGCGGAGCCGCGGCTGCACCTTCTGCTTGCTGGTTGGATAGGGTTTAGGGTTTAGGGTTTAGGGTTTAGGGTTTAGGGCTTAGGGTTTAGGGTTTAGGGTTTAGGGTTTTGGGGTTAGGGGTTTCGGGTTTAGGGTTTCGGGCTTTTGGCTTAGGGCTGTGTAGGAGTCAGGGCTTTGGAAGGTTTAGATTCGGGTTCTCCGCAAAACGAAGCTGCAGTTCCCCATCTTCGGGGCAACGAGGCAATTGAGGCGGGGATTTCGGGTTCAGGCTTGCAGGGGATGCTTTCGCCAGGGCGCGCACTGGGAAGTTACCAGACAATACAATGAAGGACAAAGATGAGCCGTTTCTGAAGTCAGGCGCGCAGTGCATACGTTAGGGTTTAGGGTGCAGGGTTTAGGCTTTAGGGTCTAGGGTACCTTTGTACACCCTCAGCCTTAAACCGAAAGGGACACTGGGATTTGGTGCATGCTCGTGGCAACATGTGCAGGAATGTTTAGGGCTTTTGGGTTTGGGGTGGAAGTGCTTCAATACCACGGAGAGGTATACGTAGGGTAAGAAGTACCTTAACATGGGTCATAATACTACCTTCTTCCGACTATGAAGCTTCAAGCCGTTACGTTTCTATCAACCACACGCAGCAAACTCGCAAAGGTAGCTCTGACATCCTCTCAGGGTGTTGCAAGTGGCTACAAAGAAAGCCAGCCTTACCCCGACAAATCCCGACAGGCTCTATAACCCTAAACTTACACCTTCGGATATTCCCCCTTATTAACAGTCCTTAATAGGGATTATTTTGGGGGGTTACGATAATTTCTATTGCGGACTGTTAGTATGAGGGGGAACATCCCAACTTACACCTAAACCCGACACCCTAAAGACCCCAGCCTCTGATCGCTCCGCGAGGTGCTGCGGCAAGAGCCGCCTGTGGCAGCAGAGCAAGCTTAAACCCTAAGCCCTAAGCCCTAAACCCTAAACCCCCCCGAAATCCTAAATCCCCAAGCCCCTAAACCCTAGACCTAAACCCTAAACCCTAAACCCTAAACACTAAACCCTACAACTTAAACCCTAAACCCTAAACCCTAAACCCTGCACCCTAAACCCTAAACCCTAACCCCTGGACCCCACTTCAGAGGCTCTTTTGGGCCGTTCGCAGGCCATCTCCGCACCGGGGGCCGGGGGGCGCCGCCTTCAGCTGCGGCGGCTTGCAGACCTCGCGTCCTGCCGGGATCCGCGTTTGCGGATTTGGGGTTTGGGGTTTAGGGTTTTTAGGGGTTTAGGGTTTTTAGGGGTTTAGGGTTCAGGGATTTAGGGTTTAGGGATTTAGGGTTTAGGATTTAGGGTTCAGGGGTTTAGGGATTTGGGGTTTAGGGTTTATAGGGGTCTGGGGTTTAGGGATTGGGGCTTAGGGTTTAGGGATTAGGGTCTAGGGGTTTGGGGATTAGGGCTTCGGGATTAGGGTTTGGGGATTTAGGGATTTGGGATGTAGGATTTAGGGTTTAGGGATTTAGGGATTCAGGGATTTAGGGACTTAGGGATTTAGGGACTTCGGGATTTAGGGACTTCGGGAATTTGGGATTTAGGATTTAGGGGTTGAGGGATTTAGGGTTAGGGTTCAGGGCTTGGGGAACAGTCTGACACAGGCCGAGGTTCGGGAAAAACAGCTGGACTGGTTTGGGGTTGGGGGTTTCGGGAGATACGATTCTGGTCGGTCCCGCATGGCTGGAAAGTGATTGGCAAGAGGCAAGTTGCTCGCTAGGCACCTCAACCCTACGCCCCTAAACACTAAACCCCAAAACCCTGCAGCCCTAAATCCCCAAACCCTAAACCCCAAAACCCTAATTCCTAAACCCTTAACCCCTCAACCCCAAACCCTTGAACTCCTAAACCCCTAAACCACTAACCCCCAATGCCCAAACCCTAGACCCTAAACCCTGAACCCTTAACCCTGCATCCAGCACCGTTCGCCTTATGGAGCAGCACACGGAGATCCCAGCATGGGCAGCTCGAGCCGGCCCTACTGGGTTTAGGGTTCAGGGTTTGAGGGTTGAGGGTTTAGGATTTAGGGTGGGGTTTGGGTCGCTATAAGTAAGGGTGTAAGTAAGGTAGCCTCTATCATGACTTTAAGTGAGGCAAGATCCCCATAACCCTACCTTTTACACTACCCATGAACCTTCAAGTAACATACATAAGACTCCTATAAGGTGAAAAGGTAGGGCACTAAGGGTGATTGTAAGGGCTGTATGGGGGAAGCTGCCCACTGACATGGGCGTAGATTCAAGAATGGGTGCGGTCTGACCTCAAATTGCATACGCAGCTAGGTATAAGGGATTAGGATTTAGGGGCTTAGAGCTAGTGGGCTTGGGAGTTTAAGCCCAAAAGCACGAGGAGGACAACCAAGCAAAACGACCCACCTGCACTGCCCAAACATCTGCAAGCTGCGAATGCCAGCTAGCGAAACAGCCAAGCCACACCAAAGCCTGCAATCGACCTGAAGGTTCATGAGTAGTTAGGAGCACCGTTCTAGGGTTTAGGGTTTAGGGCTCAGGGTTCAGGGTTCAGGGTTTAGGGTTAAGGGTTTAGGAAGGTTCATTTATATCTAGAAGAAGGGTTATAAGCAAGGCAACCTGCATTTTTTGAACGTAATTCAGGTACCTGTAGCCCCACTGACAACTAGCCATGACCCTTCAATTCGCTTGGGTGCACTAAACCCTAAATTGGGCGCCACACATCCTTTGAGCCCAGCCTGCGCCACGCTCTCCAGGCAGTTCAGAGGCCAGTTTGTGCACCATGTGCCCTCCTTGTTCACGTCCCCTTGTGCCGCCTTCGGAACAACACATGGGGCCATGTAAGAGGTAACTTATCTTGCTGAGCCCAAATGAGACTAAAAATGGACCGTCTGTTGGGCGGGCAGGCAGTGAAATCAACCGTGATCACCTTGAATAACTTGAACCCTAGAACCCGCCTTCCCGGCAAAAGCTCTGCCAGGGTTTAAGGTTTGGGGTAGTCGGGTCTTCAGGTTTTAGGACCTGGTTTAGACCCTAAAACCCTGAACCCTGAACCCCAAACGCTACATGGTTGGCTGTTTGAAGGGGTTTTGGGGGGTCTTTGGGTCTGCGTTGCGGATGAACGCTTGCTCCAAAAGAATGGGGGTCCTCACTCGTTCTCTTAAGGGAAGACCCGCAAAGGACCTCACACTGAGGGTTTTGGCAGGGTTTAGGGTTCTTGGCTGCACTCAGGAGGGTAGCTATACATTAAACTTTTAGCTGCCTTACTAATAAACCCAATAAACCCAAAAAGGGCAAGGATCTAAGGTTACAGTAAAGTACCACAAAGGGTTCAGGGGGTTTATAGGTCTTAGGGTGATCAACCTCCCGCTCCGTCACTGCTGCGCCTGTCAGGCCCATGGCACGCTCAGGGCCGCTCCTCGGCCACGTAAGGCAGCATCAGGACGAAGTCCTGCGAGGAGGCTGTTGTGGGAGGTAAAGGGCAGCCTTCTGCAGCCGGCACTGCAAAAAAGGCTATTCAGAGGACATTTGAGTTCCGAGTGTAGTCATTCGACGCAGGAACTAGGGTTTAGGGTTTAGGGTTTCGTGTGCTGGGTTTAGGGTTTAGGGATTAGGGTTAGGGTTTAGGGTTGCTCAATAGGCCTGGCGTACCGTCGCCCGCACCGGCTCGGGCGCGGCGAGGATGAACTGTGCCCGACGCCTTGAGGGGCATGGGCATTTAAGGTGTATTGGAGTGTTTCGGGTTTAGGGTTTAGGGTTTCGGGTTTAGGGTTTCGGGTTTAGGGTTTCGGGTTTAGGGTTTAGGGTTTAGGGTTTAGGGTTCCTGAGGCTTAGGGTTTAGGGTTTTAGGGCTGCAGGGGTAATGAGATTCAGGGCTTCCAGGGGCCTTACGTAGGGCTTCGGGGCTTTTTGGGTTTAGGCTCCTCTTGGAGGGTCAGGGAAGTAGACAAGTAGGTTCATGGTTATCGTGACTCTGACCTGGCTTTTGAGCTACTTTCTCCACTCAGACATGCCTGCAGGCCAGAAATAGAAACTGAATTATGATCTGAAACCCTAAACCCTCAAGCCAGCCCCTAATTTTAGAACCTCACCCTAACTGTCCTGCTTGATCCTCCGTCAATTTAAAATGTGCATTTTGGGTCCTCTGATGTCCTTTGACAACAGCCATCACATCACAAGCCTCCTAGCCCACCAATTACAGCCTGAATCCCCTCAACCCGCCCGAACCCTCAACCCTCAACCCTCAACCCTCAACCCTCAACCCTCAACCCTCAACCCTCAACCCTCAACCCTCAACCCTCAACCCTCAACCCTCAACCCACAACCCTCAACCCTCAACCCTCAACCCTCAACCCTCAACCCTCAACCCTCAACCCTCAACCCTCAACCCTCAACCCTCAACCCTCAACCCTCAACCCTCAACCCGCAACCCTCAACCCTCAACCCTCAACCCTCAACCCTCAACCCTCAACCCTCAACCCTCAACCCTCAACCCTCAACCCTCAAACCCCAACCCTAAACCCTAAACCCTAAACCCGAAACCCCAAACCCCGAACCCAACCCGAAGAGACCACGAGCCCAAGCGTCTGCGCATGGCTTGAGAGCCGCCGCCAGTGCTCGAAGGGCAGCGCCGGGCGCGGACTGAAGTGGTCTTCGGGGACTTGGACGGTGTAGCCTGCATACCTTGAGCCGTACAACCCTAAACCCTAAACCCTAAAACCCTAAACCCCTAAACTCCTAAACCCCTAAACCACTAAACCCCTAAACCCCTAAACCCCGAAACCCCTAAACCCCTAAACCCCTAAACCCCTAAACCCCTGAACCCCTAAACCCCTAAACCCTAAACAGGAGGGGCTTAGGGCTTAGAGGTTAGGGTTTTGGGTTGGGCTCTGTCGGAGTAGGAAAGAGCGGATCCCTCAACTGTACATGAAGGTTGAGGGGTGGTTCGAAGTAGGTCCTTGCTCATAACCCTGCTTGTAACTACCACCCATGAACCTTCAAGTAAACCCCAAGCCCAAAAGCTCGTGAACAAGATGTTGCGCCTAGTGACGTCCGGACGCCCATCCTGCATGTCTAGATGCATCATCTGGCCACAATGCAGGATGGGAGGCCAAGAGCATCGGCCCGAAAACCCTAGCTGTTCAAGCATGACGGATCCTCATCTGCAAGTCCAGAACCCTAAACCCTACCCCCGAAAGTTGAGGACCGAGGAATTCAGAGTTCATCGTTTAGGGTTTAGGACTTGTGGTTTAGGGATTCGGATTTTACCCAAAACCCTTAAACTAAAGACCCGAAACCTCAAACCTTAAAAAGAAAACCGATAAACCCAAGACCCTAAGGCCCGAAACCTAGACCAATGAAACTATACTCCCCTTAGGGTTTTAATAAACATAACATCTAAATATTCCTCTGGGCGTTATATAATAAATCAAAAACGTCATTTCCTAGGCTGCCCAGCAACCAAGGCTTAAAAAGGGTGCCCTTTTTTGCTTAAAGGGGTTTATAAGGGAACCTAAACCCCCCAAAAAGGGAATAAGGGTACTACTGGGCATCATAATTTCTAAGGGGCTAAAGCAAAAAGCACAGAGGCCTTAAGACACCGCCCAGCGGCCACGTGGACAGGAACTCGGCAGATGGCAGGTACCGACTCCGGTTGCCTTTCTGCTTGTGGCCGGAAGCAGAAGTTGATAGGGCTGAGGGTTTAGGGTTTCGGGTTTAGGGTTTAGGGCGTTTCGGCTTCAGGGGCTCTCAAACCCTAATGCCCTCAAAACCGAAACTCCGCAGACCCTGCAACCCTCAAACCCTCAAACCCTAAAACCTTCAGACCTTCCAACCCTTAAAAAAAACCTAAAACCTAAACCTAAACCTGACAAAGATGTCATAGGACCCCCCAAAAAAAACTTTCTAAAAGGATCGCCGATGTAAAAGGAGGCAAGGAAGCCTTTATAGAGTTCAGGACCTTCGGATTCTAGTTGGGATGTTCCCCTTTATACTAACAGGCCTTTATAGGGATGATGATACTAGGGGCACTTTTATCCCTATTCCGGATAGGATTTAAGGTTTAGTAAGACTTAAAGCGGGCCCAATCTCCCCGAAAAGCCGCTTGAGGTTCCCATTGTGGGATCCGACGGGGGCCTTCGGCCCAAGGGCTTAGGGCATTGGGTTTTGAAGGGTTGAGAGTGCAGGGTTTGGAGGCTTGAGGTCCCATGTTTAGGGTTTAGGGCTTAGGATTTAGGATTTAGGGTTTAGGGTTTAGGGTTTAGGGCTCAGGGTGGCACATGGGTCTGACTCGACAAAGCCGGGCGGATACTCGTCAAGACATCCGAGACCGAGCTGGCTGGAGAGCCTCTACCTGAACTTACAACATGTTTCCCGAAACTCACAGTCTTTCCCTAAACTCTAACTAGACCGAGGAGTAACCTAGGAATAATAAGGGCACCCTTTTTGGTCTTAAGGGGATTACACGGGAACCCCAACCCCCAAAAAAGAAAATAAGGGCCTACTCCGGGTCCTGGCTCAGTAAATTATAGAGTTCTTCAATTAGGGAACCTTGGGTTATATCCCCCCCTTGAACCCCCCTCCCTTAAGAACCCGTAATCTAAGCACTAAGCCCTAAACCCTGTACGCGAAGAGTTGCCTCAAGCACGTACGGGCCTGCATTTGGAAGGCCATGGAACTTCGCGGACCAGCCATGTTTGGGTTTAGGGACGTTGAATCCAGAACACACCGTTTTCCCTGGGTTTGGGGTTTCAGGGTTTTCAGGAACTTCGTAGCATTCGGACTATGAGTCGCAGGGCCTAGGGTTTAATCCCTAAACCCTGAACCCTTTGAACCCTCAACCTAAAACCCTAAACCCGAAAGCCTAAACCCTAAACCCTAGACCCTAAACCCTAGACCCTAAACCCTAAACCCAAGCCGAAACTCAAAGCACGAGTTGCGACGATTCGGAGTGCCGCCATGCCAGAGCCGCATGTCGCGCAGCACGACGTCGCCTCTCTCTTCAGCGCTTCAGTTTTTAGGGTTTCGGGTTTCGGGTTTAGGGTTTAGGCTTCGGGTTTAGGGCCTATTAGGGTCTATGTTTTGGGTCTATAGGGTTTAAGGTCTAGGGTTCAAGGGTTCGGGTTGAAAGGGTTTAGGGCCCCCATGGGTTAAGGCCTCAACCCTAAATTTTCACGGGCTCCCTGCGAGGCCCCAACTTGCAAAGACAGCGGGGGAAAGACTATGTTTCGGGTTGAGGGTCTAGGGCTGAAACCCTACCCCGCTTAGACCCCTCAAACCCCTCTTAAACCCCTTAAACCCCTGAAGCGCCTTAAACCCCTTGAACCCCTTGAACCTCTGAAAATGAAATCCCTGAAACCCTGAACTCCTAAACCCCTAAACCCTCCAAGCCCTCAACCCTAAACCCTAAACCCTAAACCCTAAACCCTAAACCCTAAATGAAGGTCTGCCTGCGGCAAGCGGGCACACCGCAAGGGCGCTGAGATTCCAAGCGCCCAGCCTGGGTGCGCGTTGATAGCGGTCCTAGGGCCTATGTGGTTTAGGGTTTAGGGTTTAGGGTTTAGGGTTTAGGGTTTAGGGTTTAGGGTTTAGGGTTTAGGGTCTATAGGGGTATGTGGGGCAATAGGGTTTATGGCTTATAGGGAGTATAGGGCTCGTAGGGGTAGTAGGTGAGGCTTCTTGGGTTTGGAGGGTTGAAAGGGTGACAAAGGGGTTTTGGGCTCCGTAGGGTTCCCCGGCACCAGTTCCCTCATTGACAGCGTGCATTCCGGGGGTGAATGTCGGTGAGGGAGGTGAGTCGGTGCACGCACTGCGTTCAACACGCACATTCCATGATCTACTTGATGGTGAACTCCCAAAGCTATGAGCCTCATGCACTTATTCTTGTACAGTTTGTCTATTACTCGACCAGGAGTCGATTTTTAGTTGTACCTCCTATCGGAGCTGTTGCTGCGTGGCTGTCTGTACAGCTTTTCCTGCTCCCACGTAGTTTTTGGCTTGATGACTTTCCGTTTCTGTCGTGTGTTTAGGTGAGGCCAGTGGGATCCCTATGCGATCGATCTGATTCTGATGAGTCGGATCTGGCATTGCTTATGGAGTGTTGCCGGTCTTTGCCTTGTGCTGACAAGGGCGGCTCCTAGATGTCGATCGTGAATTACTGCATGCATTCCTGCTCACCCCGGAATGGCGTGGTGCAGATGGTAGGTCTGTTCTGTGGCTGTCTTCCTGTATAGGGCCCCCTTTGACCACCGCCCGGGAACCCTAACGCGTGGTGGGAGTCGGCTGTCGCCGCAGGGCTCCGATGCCTTTTGAATTGCGTCCTCTTAGGTTCGAGTAGTCTCTGCAGGAGATTTTTCATTTTTCAGACTTACGAGGGGGGGGGGACGTGTGCCCCGTCGCTCTGACAAGCCACTTCTACTTTTGGGCTCCGTAGGGTTTATGGGGTTTATAGGGTTGATAGAGGGTCTCTTCCATAAACATGTGTACCCAACAAGAGAGGGAAAACCTGAACATCCTAAACCCTGAAACCTGAAACCTAAACCCCAAAACTCTCAACCCCAAAAAGCTCTTGATAGGATTTATAGGGCTTGGGTTTTACGGGATTCCAGGGTGTTTGGGGGTGTCTAGGGTTTGCAGGGTTTGTAAGGCTTACAAGGGTTATAAGGCTTAATGGGTTTAGGCTTGCCCTCTCGAGTTGGGTACACATGTTTATGGAAGAGTAAGATATCCTAGATATTGTATAAACAATGCCGAGGGGCAACAGCGCCTCCTTCTGCAGGTGCGTGGCGTAGCCCCAGTCCTGTCAAGCGGCTTCTGGGGATTTAGGGTTTAGGGTTTGGGGTTTAGGGTTTGCGGTTTGGGGTTTAGGGTTCAGGGTTTAGGAGCCAATTGGGAAGTTCCGCCGGGGGCGCCAGGGCTGTTGTGTTGGCGCTTGGGTTTTCGGGTTTGGGGTTTTTGGTTTGGGGTTTAGGGTTTAGGGCCAGGGTTTAAGGCCTTAGGGTGGGAACTTCCGTTTGGGGATTGGGGCCCCAAGCTTCCCCAAAATAGCCCTGCAAGGGGGTTTGGGTTGCGGGAAGCCTACCACACCCCAATCCCTAAACCATATGCCCCTGAACCCTAAGCCCCAAACTCTCCATGAAACCCTACATCGTTAAACCCAAAAATGAAAAAACAAAAAACACACACACACACACACACACACACACACACACACACACACACCCGCACACACACACACACACAGACAGTGTCAGAGCTCCTTCTTCAGCTGGCTGCCCTGACGGGGCAAGTGCAGGTTTTAGGGTTTATGGTTTAGGGCAGGAGGGGGGCGGGGGGTGCTTGACGGATCAGGGAAGTTTGTACCCTAAACCCTAAACCCTAAACCCTAAACCCTAAACCCTAAACCCTAAACCCTAAACCCTAAACCCTGAAGTGAAACAACCTACGGACTAAGTTCCCTCGGCCACGAAGTACCGCATGGGTAGCTAGAAGTAGAGTTACGAGGTTCTGAGCAACTCATATTCTAACCTTTTTTAAAAGGTGCGTTTAACCCTACTTGTGACTATCCATGAACATTCAAACAAAACCCAAATCCCAAAAACTAAACTCAAAAAACACAAAACCCTGTGGGTTCCGGGCCGAGGTCGGCTGCCAGGTCACTCTGCCAGGGTTTCGGCTTTTGGGGTCTTTTTGCATAGTGTGTGGGCTCCAAGGAAATTTGAAAGTTTTGCCCGAAACTTGTTTTGTTGGGGAAAACCCTAAACCCTAAACCCTAAATCCTAAATTCTAAACCCTAGGGGAGTTGGCGGGTGCATATGGGTTAGATTAGGGGGCGCCTCCCGCAATTCTTGGGGATTCTTGGGGCCTATTCTAAAAACCCAAAAACTCCTAAAACCCGTAAAACCCTAAAATTCCTAAAACCCTAAAACCCCTAAAAACCCTAAAGCCCTAAGAACCCTACAAACCCTCAAAACTCTAAAATCCAAAAAGCCCTCAAAACCCTAACCCACCGGTGTGGGGTTCAGGGTTTATGGAGCCATTTTTGGAAGCGCAGCCGTGTGAGGAGCCGGTTTCTTTAGAAAGGAATTTGAGGGTTTAGGGTTTAGGGTTTAGGGTTTAGGGTTCAGCATCTCAAGTCCGAGCATTCACTAGTCAAGCAACTTGTCAAGGGCTGGAATAAATCCCCACCCACCCAAGAAACCCATAACATTGAGAAAATACAAAGTCCACTCAATACATTCCCAATAGGCTTAAAGCTCAAGGTCCAATTGGCCGAAAACCCAAAATATAATTCTCAAACCGGGGAGGGTGGGGTGGGGGGGGGGGTGGCCCCTCATTTGGGGTGGTTTTGGAGGCAAACTTTCCCTCTCAAGGGGGAACATCTGAAAAACCTTGACGAACCTTTGAAATCTTGAAACCGGTGAAGGCTCGGTTTTGGTCAAAAATCCAGAAAACGAGAGGCTACCCAGAACCGTCGATTTCAGTACTAAAAATCGCATTTTTAACTGGGACCCGGGCCGATCCTGGGGTCCCCCCTCATTTGGGGTGTTTTTGGAGGCAAACTTTCCCTCTCAAGGGGGGGTCGGAGTTTGAGGCAGGGGGGGGGGTCTCCGAAGACAATTTTGCCTTTAAAATTGAAGAATACGACCCCCCCCCTTGACCAAAACTAGGCTGTGAAAAGGTCGCGGGGGCGGCCCTTCATCAGAATTGAGGGTTAAAAACCCTGAAACACCCTGAAAAACATTGAAAAACCTTGAAAACATTGAAAAACTCTGAAAAACCTTGAAAAAAAACTCTGGGCCCTAAACCCTATGCCCCAAACCCTAAGAGCCCTAAACCCTCTACCCCAAACCCTCTGAGCCCTAAACCCTATGCCCCAAACCATACAGCCCTAAACCCTATGCCCCAAACCCTACAGCCCTAAACCCTATGCCCTACAGCCCTAAACCTGAAAAAAACTCGAAAAACATTGAAAAACATCAAAAAACACTGAAAAATTCTGAAAAACCTTGAAGAACCTCGAAAACTTGAAATTCTGAAACCGGTAAAGGCTCGGTTGCCAAAAATCCAGAAACGAGAGGCCACCCAGAACCGTCGATTTCAGTACTAAAAAATCGCATTTTTAACTGGGACCCGGGCCGATCCTGGGGTCCCCCTCATTTGGGGTGTTTTTGGAAGCAAACTTTCCCTCTCAAGGGGGGGTCGGAGTTTGAGGCAAGGGGGGGTCTCCGAAGACTATTTTGCCTTTAAAATTGAAAAATACGACCCCCCCTTGACCAAAACTAGGCTGTGAAAAGGTCGCGGGGCGGCCCTTCATCAGAATTGAAGGTTAAAAACCCTGAAACACCCTGAAAAACATTGAAAAACCTTGAAAAACACTGAAAAACTCTGAAATCCTTGAAAAAAACTCTGGGCCCTAAACCCTATGCCCCAAACCCTATGCCCCAAACCCTACAGCCCTAAACCCTCTTGAGGGTTAAAAACCCTGAAACACCCTGAAAAACCTTGAGAAACCTTGAAAAACACTGAAAAACTCTGAAAAACCTTGAAAAAAAAAACTCTGGGCCCTAAACCCTAGGGCCCAGCAAAAAAAAAAAAACAATATGCCGACGAAGGTCATTAGGGTTTAAATATACATAGTAAGAGAGGGTTTAGGGGGAGTAATGCTGGACCCTTTACTTTGATCAAACAACTCTGAACCTTAATCCTAATCTTGCAAGACCTCATCCTAAACCCTAACCCTAAACCCTAAACCCTAAACCCTAAACCCTAAACCCTAAACCCTAAACCCTAAACCCTGAACCCTGAACCCTGAACCCTGAACCCTGAACCCGAAACCCTACATGAGGTCCTCTGGCACCAGGCCTCAAGGGACCGGTGCTGCGTGCGTGGGACCAGCCGGAGGGGCCCGTCCTCCGGGACGTTAGTTTTTGGGCGGTTTGGGATTCAGGAGTAGGGTTTAGGGTTTAGGGTTTAGGGTTTAGGGTTTAGGGTTTAGGGTTTAGGGTTTTAGGGTTTAGGGTTTAGGGCTTAGGGTTTAGGGTTTATGGATTAGGGATTGGGGTTTAGGGTTTAGGGTTTAGGGTTTAGGGTTTAGGGTTTAGGGTTTAGGGTTTAGGGTTTAGGGTTTAGGGTTTAGGGTTTAGGGTTTAGGGTTTAGGGTTTAGGGTTTAGGGTTTAGGGTTTAGGGTTTAGGGTTTAGGGTTTAGGGTTTAGGGTTTAGGGTTTAGGGTTTAGGGTTTAGGGTTTAGGGTTTAGGGTTTGCGTTGGGCAGAGCGCCACGGGCGTGGCGGATAGCTTGGCTTGGCGCGAAGGGGGTAAGGTGGGGTGCCGAACCAGGGTCTGGACCAGGCACAAAGTTGCAGCAAACGGAAGCGAGGCAGGACAGATTGGGTTGGCGCGAAGGGGCTAAAGCCAGGGAGAGCGCCCCGACACAGGACACAAACTGGTGCGCGGACAGCTTGGCTTGGTGCAGGCAGGGCTCCAAACCCAAAAAAGGGTTTTTTTGGCCAGAGCCCTGCCGCCCCAACAAAACGGCCCCTGGTCCCCTCAGCCCAGCGGACGGGGGTGAGGGACCAGGGGTCTCAAGGGGCCGTCCCAGGGGGCCTCCAACGCAGGAACAAGTGACAACTGCCTGCCAGAGGGTAAGCCAGCCTAGATCGGTCGCCCGCCTGGGGCTCCCTCGCAGAGCGCTCGACCAGCGCCCGCCTACCCCAAAAGACAAGAGAGTGGGGTGGCGGGCGGGTTTAGGGTTTAGGGTTTAGGGTTTAGGGTTTAGGGTTTAGGGTTTAGGGTTAGGGTTTAGGGTTTAGGGTTTAGGGTTTAGGGTTTAGGGTTTAGGGTTTAGGGTTTTAGGGTTTAGGGTTTAGGGTTTAGGGTTTAGGGTTTAGGGTTTAGGGTTTAGGGTTTAGGGTTTAGGGTTTAGGGTTTAGGGTTTAGGGGGTTTAGGGTTTAGGGTTTAGGGTTTAGGGTTTAGGGTTTAGGGTTTAGGTTTTTAGGGTTTAGGGTTTAGGGTTTAGGGTTTAGGGTTTAGGGTTTAGGGTTTAGGGTTTAGGGTTTAGGGTTTAGGGTTTAGGGTTTAGGGTTTA